CTACAAGCAACAGGTATGGATGCTAAGCTTGATCTCGTTTTCAGAGCTGTTGGGTGGGATTGTTTTTGGAACATTGTTGAGCAAGGGTCTAAACTTTTGACATTGGAATTCCTATGCACACTGCAAATCACTAACACCGGGGTTCAATTTAGACTTTTTGGAAAAGAATTTTCTTCTCCCTGGAAGGACCTAAGTTTACTCTTGGGATTTAATTCACAGTGTGTAGTAGATGTAGACCATGCCTTGCAAGATTTTGATACACAAAAATTCTAGAAGGAAATTTCGGGGCTTAATGAATTTCATCGCCCTCGCACCAATGATATCCAACATCCCACACTTCGGTTCCTTCATAAGTGGCTAGGATTCACCATGTTTTCTAGACCAGACACTCGCCCTGTGCGGATAGATGATCTCAAACTGTTGTATGCTGTTGTAAAAAGGGCAAAGGTTTCACCTATCAAATTTATAGTTTGCCATTGGTTGGAAGTTTTTACTCTTACAGGTGACATCGAGTGTACTTCTTTAGTCACTCGAATTGCCCAAAATTTGGGTCTGTTGAACAATGCTTCGGTCTCTTATATTACCGAGGAGCGTTTATATATTGATTTCGAGTATTTTCCGTCGAGCCCATATGCTCAAAAAGAAAAATGATGGACAACTTGTCATGATGTATCTTGGGTATACAACTGAGATTCCGTTACCTAACTGGAATCTCGGTTTATATACTGTGAATTCTTTCACTTTTGATCTACAGGATAGGGAGGCAGCACCTCGCAAAAGTGCTTCCACGAGACTGTCTCATGCACCGCAGCCTCGATACCGTGGCGCTGACCCAATTCTAGAAGGACCGATCTACACTGGCTATGCCAGCTGAGACCAAGCGAGATCTTCCCGTGGGTACTAGCCCGAACATGCCGGTTGGGAATAGTCATCTCCTCATCATTCCAAAGGCTTTTGGCAACAAGCTTCAAGTGAGTAGTGGCACTATAAGAATTTTGACAATTACCAGCAACATCATTATGAAGAAACCTCGAGTGGCCATCAGGGATGACGCATGTCTTTCTATGGCGGGGGTATCATGATCAACAGATGGACCACTAGCGCTTCTACAACATACTGATGACCATTGAGAAACAGAATGCTGCCATACAAGGTACACTTCACCAACACTCACAGTGCAGGCTACGATGGGGAACGCGATCGCCTACATCCAACAGAACCAGCAACAGCAGAACCAGAACTGGAACTTCTTGTTCCAGAACTTCAACATCCGGCCGCCTCATTGATCGACCACCTCAACATCCAGCTTGGGGGAAGGACATCCCTCGTGTATCCAAACAAGTACTTCTTTCTCTTGTGTTTTATTATTTTAAGTTTGTTCTATTTTTATGCTAAAAAAAGATGCATAACTAAAAACAAAATAAAAATTTATCTTAATATTAGATATATATAAATTAGTAAGGTATGATCTAAAAAATGAAATGAAAACAAAATAAAAAGAGTGTGTATAAAGTTTGCTTTAAGTGTGATTTTTAAGAGCTAAATAAATAGACTCTCTGTAAATTATCCATTATAATGGAAACGATGAATAGTTGCTCTATTATAATTCCTTTCGAGTACCCAGTTTTCAGCCATGAATTCTCTCGAATTTTGGATAAATTGATTCGATATAAGAATTTACTCTGAACTTGAAACTCGTGGGTAGCATATGCTTGATCTAAGTCTAGGTGATTGACGGATACGATATGAGAAGGTCTGAGCTACTATTTATCTTGTTCCAACTGATACTAAAATTCTGGAGATTTATCTTTTGAAAAATATAAAAATGCTACATGATGAGTTCATGTATGACAAAGCTTAAATTCTTATCAGAGTCCATACATGTTATTTTAGGCTAGAAAAGCTTCCACTCATATATGTTGCTTGTTTTATATTGAGTTTTATCAAGCTTTGTTGACCCTTATGAGAGGTTTGTCATGCTCTTAAAATCAAGATCACGTACACACCACCCACATATGCACTACTCCTACACTAGGGGCAGGCACAAAAACATGCCTTCCATCTAGATCCACCCAAACATATTTTACTCCTACACTAGGAGTGAACACCAAAAATATGTTTGATAGGTTTTTCATCCACCAAATAAATGCTCCAAGATCTTGTTGCTATCTCTCAGAAGTTTTATGCAGAGAAGAGACATGGGCTATGCAAAAGTTATTCATAAAAAATAGACAAGTGTCCGAGATATCTAAAACAATGGGTACTTAGATGTCTGCCTGATAAAAGTCCGAGATATCTGAAACAATAGGTACTCAGATGCTTGCCTAAATAAAGAAAGAGAAAGATGAATAAGATAGCCTATGTTCTCTTGTAAAAATATTTTCAAGTTTCAAAAGAGAGATAAGTTTTCGAGGAGCATAATAGAATTAGGTTAGCCACTATATTTATATCCATCATATTCCACACACATGCACATCTTAATTTAATTATATGACTTGACTCCCTTTAGATCCGATGTTTGACTTTACAATATATACATTACAAGTATGCTTTTTCATGCTATCTCCATTCCTATGAGCTCCACATAAGCCTTAGATATAGGAAGAGAAAGGCATAACATTATTATTGCCTTGGTGGGGATCCACAAATACCACAGATATTTAGAGACTTGAGAGTGTCATACAATACAAACTCTGAGTTTTATTTTGAAAACTTACAAAAACTCTGGAATAATAGTTGAACAAAGAACTTGAGACATAGTACTTGACTTAATCTTTCTGTCTTTCAATTACTCAAGACCCAAGTCAAGGCTAAGAAGCTCCATGGTTGAAGGTAATATGGGTAAGTTTGAAAGTCAGATCGGTTTTTCTAATCCAGAGGAGAATTTTGTTTGAACGCATGTGTACTTTTGAAGAGTGAAAATATTGTAGCAACTCCTGATCCATTGCTGAGTTTGACATTGCTCAGGGACGAGCAAAGGTTAAGCTTAGGGGAGTTTGTTGATGGTAGTTAACACTCACCATAAATCGTCAATAAAACCTATATAAATATAAGAATATGATCACCAACATAGGTTTAGGAGTTTAAACTGACAAATTCTATGAGTTTTGGTGAATCTGTGTTTTCAGTAGGGTTTATCCAGAAAACCGTCAAGGTGGACCTAATTGTCAGATATAATCGTGTTTATCCGCGACAAAACTTACTCAGGAATACTCTAGAAGACTCCAGAAGGTAAACCACGGAAGCAGACCCCGAGAGGATGACATGTGGGGCCGGCCGGCCCAGTGGCCCCACATGTCAGCTCCTCTTTGTTACGTCAGTTCTCCACTGCCTTAAAGATCACATCTACGCCGTTGTTTTAAGTCGGTTTGATCCGAGGGTCTAGGATTGACGTTGCCCCCTATATATATCAGCCCCTACCCCCCCGCTGAGGCATAAGTCAAGATATCAGTTGATCATCATCTTCAGATTTTCCAGAGAGAATAGAATAGACCTCCAATTCCTCAAAGTTCTAGTATAGACTAGCTAGTAAAATTCAAGTAGAGTTGGGCTACTGCTCAGGATTCTGGATTGCAGGCAGAGCACCCCCATGCCAGTACCCCCAAGAGATAAGTTCATGAAAGGGTGCCCTCCTTTCTTTTCACATTCCACTGAGCCTCTACGTGCAGATGACTGCCTAAAGGCTATTGAGAGACAACTGAACATAGCTCAGTGTGCAAATGACCGGGAGAATGTCCTGTATGGGATAGGACAACTGCAAGGAGCTGCACTGGACCGGTGGGAAGCCTATAGCTTCGCACAGGAGGGTCTAGAGGCCATCACCTGGCACCAGTTCAAGGAGGCTTTTGGGCACACTACGTGCCCGCTGGCCTGATCAAGTTGAAGGAGTTTCTGGCCTTGAAACAAGGGTCAATATTTGTGTGTGAGTATCACGACAAGTTCACCCAGTTGTCACGGTACGCACCCAACGAGGTGGAGGACGAGCAGAAGCAGGATCATTTTTTGGAAGGTCTAAATGATGGCATTCAATATATGATGTCCACTCATACCTTCAACATTAGTATAGTGCCCGTGCTAACGCCACGGCTTTATTTTAGAGATGCACATAAAAACAACAAAGGACAATGGCTGCGTTCGCTGGTCTGGAAAAACCAGACCAGCCGGCTCCTCCTCCTCACAGGTGCACTGTTCATCAACCAGCCGCTACAGTGTTTCTCTCTTACAAAACCAGCCAGTTTCAGCCAAGTTTCAGACCAATGAATGGGGCCAATATTTTTTCCGTAGTTCAACTTTCACACAATTTGTATATGACCATGTATATAATCCAAAAAACACTTATGCATAACAAGGCATAATAAAGTTATGTTCCGCCTTAACCATCTAATTTACAATCTGCCTAAGACCTTAAGTAGGCAGGGCACCGTTGGAGTAAACAGGGATATTGCGGCGCTGTTGAAGTAAACAGGGCAAGGTCCATGAATAAAATAAACAATGCCTAATCATTCGATAGTAGTCACATGTTCTAAACACCATATTCTTATACCAGGGAAGATTTCCGAAGTTAGTGCACCTGGTTGATCCGGCGTTTGAAAGTGCACTTGATTCAGCCATTCGCCGAGCACGTTGCTCATGCTTCCTCTTATTCCTCTTCGCCCTTTCCTCATTGGTTTCTTGAGCCCTTATCTTGGCGCGGTAGTCACGTTGTTTCCTATTCGTTTCCTCTCCGCGTTGTTCTTCGCTGCAAGCTGTTAACATGGTGGTGTTTATATACATGGTGTTGTATATATATCTTGTGGCAATATGTGTGTATGCATGTATCTAGAGTATGTATGTTTGTTATGCATTGCGGAGCGCAGTGCGTCCCTCTCCTGGCGTCCCCATTTTTTCGTGAAGGGCTGGTAATTCATAGAATAGGCACCGGTGAAACAAAATTCTGAATTCTGAATTGGGCATCAAAACCCCAATGTACCGGCAGTCTCCCGCCCGGCGCTCGCCGAAAAATGCCAATGCCACCGCCGCCGCCGCGGAAAGACTTCCCAGCGTTCCCGTTCGCGCCGTACCCGATCCAGTCGGAATTCATGTCGTTCCTCTACGCCGCTCTCTCCTCTGGCCCCGGCGCCCTCGCCCTCCTCGAGAGCCCTACCGGTCAGTCGCCGACCACTATATCCTCCCTCCTCCCTTCCCGCCGCCGTACTCGCAACGTTAATGACCTACTGGTCTCGCGCCCTTTTCGATGCCCACCGCAGGCACTGGCAAGACGCTCAGCATCATCTGCAGTGCGCTGCAGTGGCTCCTCGACCACCGCGACGCCGCCGCCACGGCACCGGCCCTCCAGCGGCACCGCTGCCCCGGTGACGACGACGAGCCCGACTGGTTGCGGGATTTCACACCGCTGCCGCCGGTTAAAGAGAGCACGAAGAAGAAGGTGAAGCCTCCCGCGTTGAGGAAACCGGTGGTTTCACGGAAACCAGACGGATTTGGGGAGGAAGACAGCGGCGACGACGAGCGGGAGTTCCTACTCGAGGAGTATGAGAGCGACAGCGAAGACGTCGCGAGACGGGGTGTAGGAAAATGAGCACATTGCGATGGTAGCAGTAGTAGCGAGGGCGAGGAGCTGGATGACGAAGAGGACGAGGAGGAGGTGACGCCCAAGGTTTACTTCACAAGCCGCACGCACTCGCAGCTCTCTCAGTTCGTCGGGGAGCTCAAGAGGACGGAGTTCGCGGGGCGGATCAGGACGGTGTGCTTGGGGTCCAGGAAGAACTTATGCATCAACAAGGGTAAGGAGATCTATTAAAAAATGCTGTATTTTCTTTTAGGAGGTGCCACTGCATCTAACACAAGTTAACGGGTGATGCAATTGCCTACAGATGTTCTGAAGATGGGCAGTGCAAACCGGATTAATGAGAGGTGCTTGGAACTAAAGTTAAGGTCTGCTAATCTTGATTCATTCTTTGTACTATTACCTTTTTGAAGTGCTTTCCTAACAGTTGTTACATACTATCCTTTCACTTGTTTGGCCAAATGTAACTATCGTTTACACGGGTGCCCATTCTACTAACAATGATTACCAGTGCTTCTTGACCTTTGTTTATTCAGGAATCTCTGTAATTGGGAAGTTACTTATCTTCTTTGTTTTGCTTAGCATTTAAATGGACCAAATCATTTAGACATAACCCCCTTTTAAGAACCTGACCGCTGCTATTGCTTGATTGCCATATTTATGTTTGCTTAGCATTTCAGGACTAACATCCTGCTACAATTTTCAACCTGGTTGATTACTGCTAAAGTGCTAATTTGTTATTATGGCCGTGAATATGCAGCTTGAGGATGATGAACGAAAGGTGTGCCCAGCAAAGTGCTCTTGTGGCTGCCCGATGTTAAGAAGTAGAAGTCTACAGAAAGAGTTCAGGAGCGAAGTGTCAAATCAAGGTGCATTAGACATCGAGGATTTGGCATGAATAGGGAAGAAGATTGGAACTTGTCCCTACTATGGTTCGCGAGACATGGTCCGCTCAGCTGACCTTGTAGTCCTTCCTTATCAATCTTTGTTACTCAAGTCTGCTAGAGAATCACTTGGCCTTAATCTGAAGAACAGTGTTGTCATCATAGATGAGGCTCACAACTTAGCTGATTCCTTGACTAACATGTACAACTCAAAGATCACGTCTTCTCAGGTTACTCTCACCTTTCATTAACCTTTCCATCACAATCTGGCAAATAATCCCTCCATTCCAAATTATAAGACGTTTTGGCTTTTCTAGATGCATTACTTTAACTATATCTAAGTGCATAGCAAAAACTATGTATCTAGAAAAAGCCAAAACATCATATAATTTGAAATAGAGGGAGTAGTATTTTGCTTTGTATCATAGATCATTATATTTGTTTGCGTTTCATTCAATGAACATAAACATCTATATATTCCACACCTTTTTTTTTGTAGAACATAAATGGCATATAGCTCTATAGTTTGTGTGCCTGATGCTCAATCAGTACCGTTGTCAAAGTACAAAAAGGGAATTTAGGAATTTAGGCATAAAGGGGCCTAAACAAAGAGGGTTGTTTAGTGGTGGGGTTAGCTTAGCTTGCCAATGTGGTTGTATGGCACATGAGAAGATTCTATATATGGTTTCATCTGGTTCTGGTTTAGAATTTTCATTTTGAAAGCAGCATTCAGTCAGTACATGACTTGAACATGCCTTCTAAATTGATATATTGGCTGTTTCCTTGGGCTAAAACTGGGATTCTAGCATTTCTTCTGTCATGTGCTGCTTACAAGTATGAAATTGTGTTGTTCAGGAAACAAACTTAATCATCCTTTTCTCATTTTCCTGACTGCGTTTCCTGATATTCATTTTCCTTTTGGATTGTAGTTGAAGACAGTCCTTTCCCACCTGGATGAATACTTTAACAGATTTCACAATGTTTTGGGAGCTGCGAATCAACGATACATCCAGACCTTGACAGTTTTAACAAGGTCTTTCATATGTGTTTTGATCAATAATCAAGATGGTGCCAGCACTATGTCTTCTATGACCATAAACCAATTCTTGTTTTCCCTTGACATTGATAATATAAACATAGTAAAACTTTGTCAGTTTGTGAAAGAAAGCAATATAATCCACAAGGTGAATTTCTTCCAAAATGTACCCATTCGGTTGTCCAATGCCCATGTGATCTGACTGTTGCCTTTTCAGGTTAGTGGATATGCAGACAAGTTAACTAGCATCCAAAAACAGTTTGATCTCCAGCTCCATGATGAAGGAAGCAGTATAGCATGCTTTCAGGCATTAGTTGACTTTCTATGCTCCCTTCTGAACAGCAATGACGATGGAAGAATCATAGTTGCAAAGCAAAAGCTAGGTGGACAACCTTATGAAGCATATCTTAAATTTGTGATGCTTTGTGCAGAAAAGATATTCTCCGAGGTACTAAATTATTCCTTTTTGAGTGGCCGAAAGTATGTATTGTAGCTACTTATGAATTTTGTTCCTTATATCAGGTTACACGGGATGCTTATGCTGTTATCCTGGCTGGTGGAACCCTCCAGCCTATTGAAGAAACTAGGCTACGCTTGTGTCCAAGCTTACCACCAACTGATATAAAATTCTTCACTTGCAACCATATTGTTCCTCCTGAGAGTATTCTTCCAATAGCAGTTACACGTGGACCATCAGGCATGACATTTGATTTCAGCTACAATTCAAGGAGCTCTCCTTCCATGGTTTGCACTTTCTACCTTATATCTAACATCATCAACCCATTCGTTTCTGCTACTCAAGCATAGATTGTGAAATTATGAATTATTTGTATTTATTTTCTGCCATCTTTCCAATAAGATTGATTGAAATATTTGTTTTTACAGTATTTATAACATGTGCCATCCCTTAGTCAACTTGCCTATTGGAAACCTAGGGCATTATAAACTTGCTGCAAAATGTATTTACAAGTCCCTTCTATATTCCTGTGTTTCTTTTTGCTTCATTACCTTGTGATGTTACTATGTTAGACATTCCTTGAACGCACACGTACATAAGTCCTTGTTTATCCTTTTATTTGTTTTTTTTGTGGAAATACAATTACTACATGGGTGTATGATTTCATCCATCTAGGCTTCTCCTTAACAATGAATTCTTTTTTCTGCGATTGTTTGAGCCCATTTTGATCTGCGGCTTCTTTCGTTGCTTTATACTTTATTGTTGTTGTGCAGGCTTTGTTGTTGTTGTCGTTGTTGTGCAATATTTTTTACTTGAATGCACTTTATGCCTTGTAATTCTTATTTTGCTTGCGTTAACAGATTGAAGAGCTTGGACGTTTCATTTGTAATATTATAACAGTTGTGCCTGAGGGAGTTGTTATGTTCTTTTCTTCATATGATTACGAAAGGCGTGTATATGATGCATGGATGACCGCAGGCACAATTTCCAAAATTTCTAAAAAGAAACATGTTTTCAGAGAGCCAAGGAACAGTGCTGATGTCGAGGCTGTCCTCAACAAATACAAGGAGACAATTGAGTCCTGTAGTAAAAGTTCCCAAGACACAGGTGTCAATGGAGCACTTCTATTAGCCGTTGTTGGTGGGAAGATTTCAGAAGGCATAAACTTCAGCAATGGGATGGGTCGTTGTGTAATAATGGTTGGCTTGCCTTATCCAAGTCCATCTGATGTTGAGCTGATAGAGACGATAAAGCATATCGAAAGTATTTCTAGCTCATTTTTGGCTGGAGATGATAAGGCCTCAAGCAGAAAATATGATGATGAATGTGAACTTCAGCCTGGTTATGATATATTACGGAAGTGCACTAGAGGTGGAAGAGAGTATTATGAGAACTTATGCATGAAAGCTGTGAATCAATCTATTGGTAAGCTGCTTCTAGCACTGTTTATATTCTTCCTTATATGATAAGAAGAAATAATTGCAGGCAGAGCAATCAGGCACATAAATGATTATGCTGCAATGCTATTGGTTGACTCACGTTATGCACAGACTTCATCAACCAAGAATTTTTCCTGCCCGACTGATAAGCTTCCTCAATGGATAAAAACACAGACTCTCTTGTGCTCAAAACTATGGAGAAGTTCATAGATCATTGCATCAGTTCTTCAAATTCAATAAACAAAAACGTTGAAATACTGTGCAAGCGGTAGAGTCTTACCGCCTGTGACCGGAAGGTCCCGGGTTCGAGTCGCGGTCTCCTCGCATTGCACAGGCGAGGGTAAGGCTTGCCACTAACACCCTTCCCCAGACCCCGCACAGAGCGGGAGCTCTCTGCACTGGGTACGTCCTACTCTAGGAATCAAGAAGCAAGCATTTCCACTGTTGATTCAATGCAAACAAAAATACAGGTTTGTGTATTCCTCTTCGTGCGTTTTTTTAAACATAGCTTTGTGTTTGTGTATCCTTACTTATGCTGCCTACTTATGAGCAGCCTGCACCTGTGATCAGAGTTATGTATAGAATTATGGTGACAGTAATGCTTCTTCTTAAGGAATTATGGTTAGATCCATATTTCTTTTGTTTGAGACTGTAAAACAATATCACAAATATAATTATTCAGTCTGCTTATTGTCAGTCCTTATCATTGTTTCAATTCTCTGTCATGATAGCAAATCTTATAGACCTCATTTTAGTGATGTGTGTTACTACACTAATATGTTGGTATATTTTCGAAGTGGGAGCAGTGTACTATTTGATCGTTGCAAGTTATGATATTTACATTTCATATTCTTGAAATCTACAACCTAGGCAAGTGACATTTATGTAAGCAGTTTTATTAGTTCTGCTATCTAGCTGTTTGAAATTTTAAATAGAAAGAGGAATTGGGTTAAACAGAAAGCAAGTTGCAATTTCCAGCTTTTTTTTATAAGATCAAGTCCACCAAATTTCAAATTTATTGTTCCTTTTGAAGGATTCCAACTACGGATTGTCTCATTATGGCCATACTAGGACATCTGTATTTTGCACAAATGAGCCATTGTAATTTTTGCTTGTCGTGTGCAGTATCTGGTGTTCCACCAGAAAAAAAAATCCCAGCATTTAGTGTCTGATAAAAAAGTAATTGAGGTATTTGTTATGGAGTATTTTTTATTTAACAATTGTTCTCAAGTGCATTTTGGTGATTATATTTAATCTGCTCAAATTTATTGCTACATTTCTGTTTGCAGGCATCCCTTATGAGCGCAAGACATCTGCCCTATTTTTGACAAAAAAAGGAGAACGAAGCTAACCATGTAAACCTTTTTCTTAACCCTCTAGGTGCATGTGAGGCTGGACCTACAGCTCCAGGGTGTAGAAGGATGTTGGCCGAGCAGCATGATCAGAGTTATCTTCAGTTGGTTCAATATGATTTTCAGTTAAAGTAATGAAGGATGCTGGGCGAGCAGCGTTATCAGAGTTATCCTCAGTTGGTTCAGTGTTATTTTCAGTTGAAGTAATCCCGAGTTGTTTCGGCTTTGGTCGGAGTTACTGCTTTGGATATGGTTGTTGGTTTAAGCTGGAGATAGTCTAGCGTATGAGCAAAGATAGGAGCACGTTTGGTTATATCGCTGGGACATGTTTAGCCTTGCCCAACATGGGTGCTGAATGAGTCTGGGCGTTTGGTTCTTTGCCTTGGTCACGTGGGAGCCTGTGCAAGCAGAGTTTTTGGCTCGCTCATGAGAGAGCGGAATCGGCTCGCCGGCCTGGGCGAGATTCTCGTTGTATGTGTATCAGGCGAGGCGAGGTGCGGCAAAGAAACCAAACGTGCCCTAGTTGTATGAATATGTCCTGGTGCCTATGTAAGCCAATCCGTTGTACTAATTTAGTTAACCAATTAACCCATAAAATAATCTCCTAACTCTCCCTCTCCCTGAACAGCCTCCACGCCTTGCCGAGCCTTGCTCAATTGGCTAGATGAAAGGTATGGTTATACACCTAATCACCTATGTTCTAAGCTCTACTGAACTTAAATTTGGGTGTTCTTCCTAGTTGGTCTCTGTCAAGGGCATCAAGGTCGTAGGTAACTGGACCGCGGCTACGAAGATCGTAGCCTTGATCGCTAGCGTTGGGGTGAGGTTTTATCCCTTGGCATCCTATTGTTGAAGGGGATGAGATTGAGAGAGAAGAGACAGGAGAGTAGAGTTGTCTGATTCATTCTTGAATCCAAATATTTTCGGTACATCAAAGAAATAAGCATGCGGTGGAAACTAATTGGGAAAGTAATCTGGTCCTGGCTTGCGCATGTGCCTTGCGCGCCTAGGGTGCTGCTGATGTGCATTACACGATCTTGTCCGTGGGCTCTTTCTCCCGGCGCGCTCCTCAGGCCCCCCTGTGTCCCTAGCTGTGATGCGCCATGCGCCTCCTGCGCTGACGTGTTCGCGCCCTTGGCCGTGTCTCTGGTGCACCCCCCCTCTCTGCTAATGGCGGCACCACATGACATCTCTCCTCGCCCTTGATGATCAGCTCTTCCTCGAGCTGGAACAAATGGTGGCACTCCAGGAACGTGTCGACGTCTTCCCAAGACACGGATGCAAGAAAATCTTTATTTTCAGTGGCACCTTTAGCTTCCAGAAAGGTCTTTTTCTCAGCAAGAATGTCTTGTCATATCAAAGCTTTGTACATGGATTGGACTGTGAGCAAGCCATTCTTACTAAGGTTCCATCGGAATACATCTTTCCGGTTAGAGAGATGAACTTGTACAACTTTTGACACTAAGTCAAACCAAGCTCTCCGATTTTCATTAACCAATCACCGCCTAAAAGACACATTAAGTGGTACTGTCCCTAGGACGTTTGCCACCATATCATCTTTCTTCCATGCAACTCTATATAAATTAGGGTAAACTCTCTAAAGAGGTTTGTCTCCTAACCACACATCCTCCCAAAATCGCACTTGCTCCCCACTTTGCACTTTAAAAGTGCCACAAGCTAGAAGGTCCACCTTGGCTTTCAAAAGACCAGCCCAGAAATGACAATCTCCAGACCGATGCTGCACTTGAGTAAGAGATTTGTTAGACAGATATTTCCTTCCTAGAAGGTTCTGCCAAACCCCATCCTCATTGATCAACCGAAATAACCACTTACTCAAAAGACATCTATTTTGTAATTCTAGATTTAGAATTCCTAGCCCTCCAAGGTTTTCGGGTATACAAAGGACACTCCACTTAGCTAGATGATATTTCTTCGTGTGTTCATCACACGGCCAAAAAAAATGGGAGCGATAATAATCTAGTTTTTAAAGCACTCCCTTAGGGACTTGAAAAAAGGATAGCACAAACATATCTAAGCAGTTAGCACCGAATTAATGAGAACTAGTCTCCCATCAACCAAAAGTAATTTACCCTTCTAGCTACTGAGTTTTTTCTAGAACCTTTCCTCAATACATGACCAATCCTTGTTGGATAGCTTAACATGATTCATAGGAATACCTAGATATCTGAAAGGAAAATCACCTAATCGACACCCAAATCTGAAAGGGAAATCACCTAATCGACACCCAAACAAATGTGCATATTCCAGTTCACGGTCCTTAGCCGCACCATAGCAGAAAAGTTCACTTTTATGAAAATTAATTTTTAGACCTGATAATTGCTCAAAGGTACTAAGCACAAGCTTTAGTTCTTTGGCCTGTAGCATATCATGATCTAAAAACAAAATGGTGTCGTCCGCATATTGCAGAATTGAAAGGCCATCATCCACCTGGAACCACTCCCTTGATGTGTCCATTAGCCTTAGCCTGGAGAATCAAGGTAGCTAACATATACGCCACCAAATTAAAAAGGATAGGGGACAAAGGATCTCCGTGTCTTACTCCTTTCCTTGTTTGGAAGAAGTGTCCCACATCATCATTAACTTTGATGTTAACACTATCTCCCCTCACAATTTGATCAATCCAATGACACTAGATGAGTGAAAACCCTTTCATTCTTAAAGTTTGTTGCAGAAAAGACCATTTGACTTTGTCATAGGCTTTCTCAAAGTCTAGCTTTAAGATCACCACATCTAACTTTTTCTATGCATCTCATGAATGGTCTCATGCAGGACAATCACCCCTTGTAAAATATTTTGACCCTTCATGAAAGCTGATTGTGAAGGTTGGATCACCTTTTGAGCCACTAGGGCTATTCGGTTAGTCAAAACGTTAGTAAAAATTTTGAAACTAACATTCATCAGGCAAATTGGTCGAAACTGTTGGATCTACGCTGCCTCCTTTTGCTTTGGTAACAATGTAATTGTACCAAAGTTGAGGCTAAAAAGGAGTAGATTACCCATGTGAAATTCGATGAAAAGGGCCATAAGGTCCTCTTTTATTATTTCCCAAAAAACTTGGTAGAACTCGGTCGGAAACCCATCAGGGCCAGGAGCTTTATTGTGCTCCATCTGAAAAATGGCCTTTTTAATTTCTTTCTCTAAAAACTTAACCGTTAAGACTCCATTTTCGAGCTGTGAGACTTGTGGAATGTCGCTCGTAGCAGACTCCACCAATGAGAAATTATTAGTAGCTGATTCCCCAAAGAGATCTTTGTAATAGTTGGTGATAAATTTCTTTAGATTTTCATCACCCTCGATGACACCTTCATCTTGTTCTAGGCAAAAAATATGTGTTTTTCGGTGTTTTCCATTGGCCGTGAGGTGAAAGTATTTAGTATTGCAGTCACCCGATAACAATCTAGTTGTTTTAGCCCTTTGGTACCATTTGACTTCCTCTTCCCATAAGAGAAGAGCCAGTCTGTCCTTGTAATAATGTTTTAAATCGATTTTCGTGGTACTTAGTGGCTATACTTCCGTTTTTTATCTAGCGCATCAGCTTTCCTGATCAACTCAGCCTTTTCTTTCTTATAGTTGCCGCCCACATTTTTGGCCCAGCCCCTTAAGAACTGTCTAAGCCGTTGTATTTTACATTGCCAGCGCTCCAGAGGATTGATA